TACTCAAGTACTATATATATATATATATATATCGAAAAAAAAATCTAACTTTGTTATCCAAGTCGATAAATAGTTTCTTGAAATTATATTTTACGCTCAAGTCTCCCCTTTTTGAGATAGTACAAGTTGAATTTTATCTTTTTTATTTGTATAAAATAAATGTGCTTATTATCTTTTTATTTTTTATAAAATAAACATGCTTATTTTGAAATTTTGATAATAAAAATATATTTTCTGTTGATTTCTATTGTTAGTTTTTGTATTCTTTGGCTTAATTGGACCGACGATTGGGATTCAGTTTTAAGGGCTCTTGTTTTTATTGAAAAGTTTGAGCCCTCGAATTTTACTAAGAATAAGATTGAAAGATAGAGCTAGATGGATGGATTTCACATTTTTTCTCGGTTTGTATTAGCGGTTTTTCTCATCAACTATACAATCAATAAAAGAATATAAGGGATAATGATGATGTATTACTTTTGCATTATATTTTTTAATGCAATATTAATTTGGCATTATAATGGGCATATCAAATATCTTATGTTTGATTACCAGGAAATACCAAAGATACCACACTTTTGATATCTTAGGTAGAAAATCCAAACAAATGGAGAGATTGAGGAAAATGTCACACATAAAATTAGAGCTGGGTGGGAAGAGAAATTGAGAAAGATATCACACACAAAATTAGAGCTGGATAGGAGGAGCGGAAATGTACAATCGAAATTTTATGTGATTGCCGCATACCATGAAGTTGAAGGGCAAATTCTATAGGACAGTTGTGAGACCAACTTTGTTTTATGGGGTAAAATGTTGAGTGGTTAAAAAACAATATACCCATAAAACAAATGTAACAGAGATGATGATGTTCAGATGGATGTGTGACAAGACAATAAAAGATAGAATTCAAAATTAATCTATTCGAACAAATTTAGGTGTGGCACCAATAGAAGTTAAGATGAGAGAGAACAGATTTAGGTGGGCTAGCCATATGTGGCGCAAACCCAGCACAATACCTGTTAAGAAGTATGAGTTAGTTCAAGTGAAAGGTTCTAGTGATAAAATATATCGAGACTTATGGCCTCATTGAGGGTATGACCCTTAATATAGTAGAATGGCGGTCCACGATTCATGTAGTCAACCCCAATTAATTAGAAAAAAGCTATGATGATGATGATGAAATGTCTTGTGTCTTATAGCGGTACTTTGAGTTTTATTTATTTTTTAGCTGGATGAGTCAGGTTTTTACCTTTGTAATGGTTTTCAGCATTTCATTTGAATATATAAATTCCATATGAGAAATATATCATAACACCTATAAGAGATGAGCTATTCAATGTTTTTTCCCATTTGCAAATATTATCGTTCAAGCTATTGTGTTTTTTATGGGTATTTTGAAATTAAATTAAACGATACGGATAAAGTACCAATTTATATTTAGGTAATTTGATAAATTTCCCAATTCTAAATACGAAGGTATAACTGCTTTTATAAAAATCATGACCATCAGATAAGAATTTGAATATCTTCACAATATATTCAATCTATGCACAAGGTTGAAAAACTAGCTCTTCCTGCATCTTTGTTATTAGATACATTACCCTTATTGCTACCGGTGATAGTGATTGAAAACTTGGCTAGCCGACTTAGAATTGTCTTTGTCAATTCAAACTTGATGCATTCCTGATTCTAGATGCTCATAACTTGGGGAATTGTCCAAGATGTCCATTATCGGACAAATATAGTGAATAGCCCTTGGTTTGTCATAGGGAATCAAGTAATTTTTTATTTGTATTTTTTTATGATCTTAGAGTAGAAGAGTGGATCAGGATTCATGTAGCTGACTCCAAATAATTGAAAAAACATACTAATGATGATGGTGCTTCTTTCATGATCTTTTTATTCTCTTTACGAAGTGTGGTAACTTGCCCAAGACCATCACGTCGACTTGGATTGGCAAGGGCTTGAATCATCACGTAACTCCTATTTCTAGACTACAATTGCAACTATGTTATGAATTTGTGTTTATACTTGGGGAATATATACGACGAGACCATTTATTTTTGGACCCAGTTTCTATGCGGCCAAGGCCGCATATGTAAAAATGTGGGCTTAGTAATATATCTATTTTTGAGATGAAATTGTTTACTTAATTTTTAAGGACATGTAATCTCTAGCATGGAGATCATGAATATGAAAAAATAAGCAATTTTTAAAAATTAAAAATAATAATTATAGTAAGAAAACATTTGGACCGTTAGTTTTCATTGTTTTTAAATGGAACACCTACTTGCATCCATCTTTAAGATGGATGCTTTACACTTTTTGGACTGCATATGTAGTCATGCAGTTCAGCCCGCATGAAACAAAATTTCTCTATTTTTTGTACAAAAAAGCCACAATTATTATTGTCTGTTAGATGTAAAATTTGGAGGCAAATGTGTCATTAATCATGCACAAAGTTCAAAATATAGTTTCTTGAACCATGTGACACATTTTATGATGTCAGATTTCACGTTTAATGATTATAAGTGATTGTGACGTCCTTATATCAAATGTAAACGGTTTTATATTATCCAATCCCTTACACTAATGTTTTTGACATGTGCTCTGCTAAAAAAAGGTCATACATCTAAACTAAACAAAGCCAGAAAATTTTCCTATTGGACCATAACTTCTAAAACCAGACAATTAGTAGGTAAAATAGGGCTAAAAATGTATTGAACTGATTGGTTCATCAATTCCCCATAGTATCTAAGACAATACCGAAAAGATGGACATCCCTATTGACCCAATCTAGTCAAGTGATACATTGACTAGGAACCGACAATTTTGACTATGGACCCATTAATTAGGCATCAAATTGCAAGGCTCGCCTAGCCTTTTTGAACAAAACACAAGAAGTCCAATTGGTAGGGTCTCATGGTTTAATTGGGACCTTGGGACACCATTGCTAAGCACTCTGTTTGAACCCAACATAAATGTTGGACTAGACCAATTCAACATGGCTCTAGATGTTTGAATAAGAACCTGGCCAATATTAATTTGAGAGGACTCAAGGCCACATAATCCGACCATGCATCCTTCAAACTCGAATCACTATAAGTGAATTTATCTCTATAATGAAGCCAAAAGATTACTGGCTCATGCGGGAGCATATCGTACATTCACTTCCTTGGATAAAACCTACATTAGAGTATATGTCTTTAAAATGTAGGTCTGAAACCCCGTATCAGCTACATCAGCCCTAAATATTTTGGGTACTATGAGTTTAGGCACCCCCAAATTTAAAACATGTATGCAGTCCGGATCATCCACCTACTAATTCTGATCCGGATGTCAGATCAACATTCTAATTTGGACAAATCGGCTACCCGACAAACTCAAAAGAAAAAAAAAAGACGAAAAGAAGATGAATGATGATTTTTGTTTTATGATATTTCTTTTATGTTTAAACCAAGTGGAAGCGTTATTAACTGTCATTTCTTTCGGGGTTGTATGATTGTGACAAGGAACAGACAATTCTCGATCCAGATTAACATGTACTAGATTGATGATTGTTGAATCAGCACCACATGTAACTAACACAAGCTCAATATTATTTCAAAGAATATCATGTATGGTGCACTCTATTGGGAGTACTGCACTAGGCATTTAGTCCACAAGGCAAATAAAAACCTCCTAATATTTTTGTTTGGTAATTTCTGGGAAGGCATGGGCATTTTCCTCTTTATTTTGTTTTTTATGGGAATTTGGGGAAAGAACCGGCCTAAGGATAATAATTAAAGACAAGTATTGCTTAGCCGTAACGCGATCATGATTAGGGAGGTATCCACGTGCGACGCTTTTACGTCATGATTAGGGAGGTATCCACGTGCGACGCTTTTACGTAAATAACTAAACTACCCTCGAGTCAATGGAGCGTGACCTCAATGTGATCGTTGGGCTAAAAGAGGCGTATGCGTACCACCAACGCGGACTGCGTTCTAAATGTTAGGGACAAAATAGTAATTTTGTGTAAAATATAATTTATAAAATCCTCTTACGCCCATATGTATTAGATAAGATCTCAAAAGATCACTTTTACATATATCTCTAGAACAAGCCAAATCTCCTATACCGCCTATCGGTCAAATTTAATGGTGATCATTTAAAATCCTACATGCATGTGTGTGATGGTCTCGTGAGATCGTTATATGGATCATTTTATCTTTGGTAGTTTCAATTAATCTTACTATTAGATATGAAATTAATGTTAGCATTTATTTCATTGATCACGTTCAAACTTTAAAAAAAAATAAAAAATTTTCGAACTTTGTTACACAATTAATCTATCAAATTTCACATCACATACAAAGTCGAGAATAAATAATGACTTGGATCTCAACACTTGAAGTGACTTTGGTCTCTTTTCTATTATTATTTTTAAATAATAGTACGAATTCATTTGGTGAAATATGAAGTAATTTGACACCTCTAATTTTCAATCTCGGAGAGAGAGGGTAAAATTGAAATACAAATTAATAGCCAAAAAAAAAATATTTACAACACGCAAAAATTAAGATTACTTTTCGTAATTACAATGTTTATACGGGTAAATTTCTAAAAACATTAAACATATTTCGATGAGTCTCCATAAAAGTTATGGATCATCTTAGTCAAGCTTAAACCAAATAAATTTAAGAGTAAAATAAAGGCCCTTCAAGGCTTCAACTAGTTGGCAAGTTAGACTTTCCCAGGGTACGTTTGTTTGCCGGAAGATAAAATGTTCCCCGAAAAAAAAAAAGTTCTCATTTGTTGAGAAGGCCATTTATTTATTCGGGAAGGTTAAAATAAATTATGAGTATTGTGTTGGATAACCAGCTGGAATTTAAGGAAGTTCTAATAAATGCTTTATCTACTTCCGCAAAGACATTTTAAGCAAGCAAATAACACCATAATGATATCAAAATTAAATAAAAAACAATGCGTTAAATACTGTTGCATATTCAATAGCATGTGGCCACTTATTACACATATTTAGCGCCAATATTTGACTCAAAATGAGATCAAATGGTGCTTGATCTACTTCTGCAAATCAATGACATTCTAAGCAAGCCAATTACATCGTAATGATATCAAAATTAGATAAAAAAACAATGTGTTAAACACTGTTGTATATTCAGCAGCATATGGCCAATTATCACACACATTGACCACTAAAATTTGCTTCAAAATGAGATCAAATGATACTTGATCTACTCTCGCAAACCAATGACATTATAATGATATTAAAATCAAATAAAACATAGTGTGTTAAACAGTGATGCATATAGCCAATTATCACACACATTGAGCACCAAGATTTGACTAAATAAATGAATGAAGAGAGAAAGTCAGTTGCAGACTTCAGAATAAAGGTACAAACCGAAGTCAATAAAATGATATGTCGATTTACTTAAGCCCTGAAAACCCCAAAATCAATAAGAATGAACTCTTAGTTTGATTAAGCCCTGTAAACCACAAACCAAATTTTATTCCAAATGAGTAATCATGCAAACGGACAGAGTTCATAATAGATAAAAATTTAACTAACAAAAATAAGAAGAGATCAAAGCCAATATGCATATGTACAACAATGAATTTAAACAATACAAATAATCCATAACAAATTATAGGAAACCAAGAAAAATAAAATAGTCACAAAGCAAATAACCATAGGAAAAGAAATGATTTAATAAAAAAAAACACTCAGAAAAAAAAAAAAAAAATTGAATCACCATGATTCATTGAATGTATATCTTGTATAAAACTGAATCACACTGATTAGTTTTCTCACTCTAGAAAATGTCTCAAGCTGTCTCTTGTAGGTCAGGAAATATAGAATATTAAAACCGTGAGCCTTTCAGGCTATGTAACCAAAAATAAAATAAAAATGGGGATAATCCCTGCAGGTGACCGCTAGTTATTGGAAGATCAATGAAACAAAATATATATATATGGATAACTGCAGTAGTAAAAAGGAAGAAAACAACGTACCCATATTTTTATTTTTGTCAATATCTTTTACCCTTTTATTGTAAAACCCTAAAAAGAAATCCGACAGAGTTCAGAAAAATGAAACAATAGTTTCAAAAAATCACTCAAAATAGTCAGATAAAAAAATGGCCTCTTTAGAAATTGTTGATTTCTTAATAAATATAATAGAAACCAGCATTTCCAGCATTTGTAGGAAGGGAATAGATCGCCGGGAGAGGGATAGAGAGAGACAGGGAGAGAAAGAGATGGAATAGATTAGAGAGAGGAATCAAAGGCAGAGGGGATGAAAGATCACAAATGAAAGAGAAGAGAGATTGTAGAGATATCAGAGGGAGAGAGGATCAGAGAGAAGATGAAGGAGAGGACAGGAAGGAGAAGAGCATTGGTTGGATGCAGGTGCGAGAGAGACAGATAAGCTTGGAGGCAGGCAATGGGCTTCTGAGCTTGGAGGCTGCGATGCTAGGGTTGAGATTGTATAGGAAACAAAACCATTGCGGAAAAAGTTCTCAATCTCTCCTTTTCTTTTAGGGAAAAGTTTATATAGAGCCCAGGTTTTAAACTTCTCAAAACTTTCATTCGGAAGAGGTTGTTTTGCTGTTCAAATATCTTCAAATCGATCATCCAGACATCAAGATGCATATACACGAGAAAAAAATAAATTTCAAGTTTTGAAAATAATATGTTTTGCAACGTATTTTTTGGCCGTCAATCTTTAAGATTTTCAAGTTTTTATAAATCAGTTGATTTATACTATTTTTTAAACTTTAAATTTTTAAAATAAATATAAAATATAGTTTAAAGCTATTATAAAGATTTTCAATATTAAAATCGATACTATTTGAAGGTAGGCTTTAATTTGATTGTTTAGAGCCTAGGCTCTATACAAACCGTACCTTTTTTTTTATAACTTAAAATGGAGTAAACACGGTAAAAAAAAATCTCACAACTTCTAAACACCGTAGAAGCCTCATACATCAAACATGGGATTTCTACAATGATAAGAAGAAATTTGTTATGGAGAAATTTCTTCCTCCAAAAAAACGCGTCCTCATAGTTTGCGATGAGAGCCAAGCACTTTGTCATTTTCGCTAAAGAGAGCTGATATAAATGGATTGTACACTCTTATCATTGTTTATTATTGGTACATAGAGATCACAACCACCTCCCGCCATTGGATCTAGAATCGGGCGGTTACAAGTATGTGGTTTTCTCTCACGATTCGAGAGAGAATAATTTACTTAAATTGAAGAAAAAGAGAGAAAATGAGGTAGCATCGTAATAAAAAAGAAGTTATGTATATATATATATACATTACATGAAAAAAATATTTTATATAAAAAATATTGACTTAAATACCCCCCAAAAAATTTAGGGGTATTTTGGTCAATATATTTATGAAATATTTTTTTATATATTTTTATTAGGTGCGCCTCACTAAGATGTACATGCATTCAAAATTTCAGGTCATTATGATTTGTAGAAAAAAAATGAAAAATAAAACACTACCGGACAATCATGACCGTGCGCTGAAATTTAGACGGTGATGAAAATAGGTGAAATTACTGTTTATTTTCTCCTACAGGCATTGAGAAGACTTTTCCCATGTATATATATATATATATATGAAGAGGCTACAAAACGCTTATGGGTGAAAATGAACAATATTTTCGCCCATAGGCTCGGCACCATCCGATTTTTTCGAACGGCATGGATTAAAGATCGTCACAGACATAGCATGTCCGTGACGAAGTTTTTTCATGCAAACTTGACGCAAAAATATATGGGGACAGCTACGGCTCCCGTAGGTCCATGGTTGTTTTTAAGCAAAACTGTCACGAACATAGCATGTCCGTGACAGAAGCAAAACAATGTAGCAACATGGGAGTTGCTCATTTTTATGTCCTCTTATGCATGTAGAAAGAAGAGAGTGTGTAGGTTGGGAGAGAGATAAGAATAGAGGGAGAAAGGATGGGGTGCTTCTCTCGCTTCACACCACATACGGAATTCATTGGAAAAAATGAGTAAAAAAGAAAAGAAAATCACCCCTTTTTCTTTTGCCATCCCATGCTAAAAAAGCGACTATCATTTTTAGACTAGCCTTTACATCCACTCATCTCTAACGGCTCACATTTAAGTTCAAAAACCACTTCTTTCCCCTTCCTCAGAGCCTGGAGATGGCAGATCCCAAGAGCCATGGCTCCGTCATGCCATTGCCAAAACCACCAGGGCACGATGCTCGAAGCCCGACCGCCCCTCAACGACCCATGCAAGTCTCATTTCCGACCCACTCTCCAAATAAGCCTAGAAAGAAGAAACCTAGACGCTGTTGTTGCTCCTGTTGTTTATGGATTTGTGTTCTACTCTTGGTTCTCATCTTGTTCCTCTGCTTGGTAGGGTTTGCGGTCTTCGTGTATTTTCGACCGACCCCTCCAAAATTCAAGGTTGAAACCCTAAAATTCAAACAGTTTAGTGTCGAATCTAGATCCCAACAACTATATCTAACCTCAAATGTACAATTGTTTGTTGAGGCGCTCAATAAGAATGATAGGTTTGGTTTCTCATATGACCACTTATCTGCATTGGTTTTCGCAAACGACGTGAGTCTGGGAGGCGCTTCCTTTCCCAGATTTTTGCAACCCCGGAAGAATACAACTGTGATGAATTTCCCTGCATCTGTGATGGGGTCCTTGGTTGACAATGCTGAAGGAAAGGAGATGGAGAGCAAATATAAGGCCAAGCAACTGGATTTGAATGTGGAGTTGAGGGGTAATTTGAGGATTATTTTTAGGAGGTGGAGCTCAGGAAAGCTGGAATTTCAGTTGTGGTGCGAGGGGGTGAACCAACACAAGATATCCATGGGGATGGAGCCTCAATGCAAGGTCAAATTATTTGGCTGGTAATATTTTACCCCAATTCTCAAGTTTTCAATAACAATATCGATAACAACAATGATTACCAAAAAGAATAATAAAGAAAACTATACTACGATATTGTTTATCTTTGGTATAAGGTGCTCTCAATTAAACTTGACCATTGGATGTGAAATTAAATAGCTGCACTCGAACTTGAAAATAAATTTTCGCTAACTTGGTGACACATCCAAGCTATCAGATTTTACATTGGATGGTTGTAAATAATTATGACTTCTTTATATCAAAGTGAAGAGATAGACAATTCCAAAAATAAAAACTCTTGTATTAATATTATATTTTTGGTCATGTGTCAATAGAATATGTTATTTTAATTATGATATCTTCGTACTCCACCTTTTTGCATTCATTGCATTTTGAAATGAAATTATCATGATTCTAACTCTGGCATTTACAACCCTAGGAGAAAATCAATAGCAAAAGTGGCAACATTCATGTAATAATTATCCATTCAAAAATTACAATAATGTAAAAAAAATGTAATAATTATAAACATGAGTAAATAAAGTTTTGTTATCATGATTATTTTGATCATGTCAATGCACACATAACTGATCACGTATACACGTGGGAAAGCATGACAACATTTAGTAATGGTTAATATGACCATTTGATTTTGGTACAATAATGTCAAACCGTTGGTCTTTGGCACAAAGATGTCAGAATGCTGCTGCTGGATATAAAATTGAGTAGCTGGATTATCCAGTTGATCATGTTTAACTTTTTTTCAAAATATTGAACTCCACGACACATCTTAAGCTGTCCAATTTTATATCTAACAGTCATGGGTGATTACAACCTCATTATGACAAAGATATATAATATTATGGTATATAATCTCAGTAATTAATTCATATTTTGAAAAAAAGGAGAATAACAAATTTTATATCTAACAGTCATGGGTGATTACCACCTCATTATGACAAAGATATATAATATTATGGTATATAATCTCAGTAATTAATTCATATTTTGAAAAAAAGGAGAATACTGTAGAAAACACTCAAGTGCACATAATATGTTCATGCAAGGAATGCTTCCACAATGATCGACCATCTTTATTTTCCTTTGGGTAAATCAGCGGGGGAGATGCCCTCTACCCATTTTTCATTAATTATAGAAGAAATCTTAATACAACTCATAGTTTGAGATCCAACATCTTTCTCCTTTCATTGAATGGCAAATAATATGCATCATGTGCTCGCATTGCATCTATTTTGAGAGAGAGAGAGAGAGGTGATGATTTGGATCCACCAGGTGTGTGAGGGATACGATAGATGTTAAAAGGAATGCATGAGTGGAACTAGAATGAAACTACCCTTTATTTCTAAGAAGCAATACAATAATAGATTCTATTTAGGGGGAATCACATTTTATATATGAATAGATCATATGGATGGATTGCATTATGAAAAATCACAATGCATATACAAGTAAATAAATCAAATGCATGAATTGCATTTAAGAATAAATCATAATAATAAATCACAATCATATACAAACGAGTATTAATTATCACTAGTAAGTGATTTAAAAATCATTGAGCTGACTTAGAATCACCCAAACTGGCTCAATATCGAAAACCTGGTGGTTTAAGAGGCATTGGCCCACAAAATGGGAGAGTCTCCTAAGCCTAAGGTGCTTGTTGTTATTTTGTCATAACATCACCTTGGCCTCAGATTCAGCATCTGACTCGGCCATTTGTTTGACAGACTTAGGCTTGGGACCCTGGCAAGTCGAAGCCCGAGTCAACATTTTTTAACATTGATTATCAGGATATTTATGAATGCATATAATACACTAAGTGAACTCTCTATTTATTACTGTATCAGAGAGAATTAATCACTCTTAACTATGTCTTGGTTGGTGGTTGCAGGCCCTTCTTTATCAGTGCATAACACATTGAAGACCACATATCTTTCAAGATTGCGAGGCCTATGAATAGTCATGGAGGCAAATATTGTATATTATTCACATCTTTTATTCACCTTTAGTACTGTTAATTTTATTTTAAGTTCTATTGTTTAGAGCAAATGTATTCACTTGCATCAAGTTTTGTCTGTGTTGATATATTGTTTTTCTTCTTTTTGAGTGTTGTTTTTTTATGTTAGATATATTGTTTATTTTTAATTTTCATATTTTTTCATTGAATTTATGTTCTTTTGTTTATTTGACTATTTGTTGTTCTCCAAACCAGTAAAAGTCCATACAAGACCTTTTGATAATTTAAATATTGTTAACACTGGCTATCTAGGTTCCATGAGTATATGGCACTAATATTTCATGAATATGTTTATATTTGGTAGAGAGATAATGGGTTCCTCTCTCAATTGACCCTTCTTTCTTGTAGATCTTAACAAGAAGAATTGGGATGCGCTTGTTGGTATTTTTTTTTTTTTGTGTAGCTCATTGGGGAAGACTTTCTCTACCTGTGGTAAGATAGAATTCGAGATGTCATGTTCTGGCATCCCGTCATCCTAACCACCTAGCTTTGATTCCATTCCTATGGATGCGTCTATCATGAATTAAGGGCACATTTGGTTTATGTGAAAAATATTTCCTAATAAATATTTTTACTTGAAAATTTTCATCATGTGGGTAGTGTGGGAACATTTTCAAATCAATTAGCTGTCAATTAGTGTGAAAATATATATTGGGACCAACTGATATGAAAATATTATCATATCGAACCACATGATAGAATTCTTTCACGTAAAAATATTTTCTCTGAACTACATTCAATAAGGGGTTTCCTGATGTAGATTTACCTAATATTGTAAAGCATTAACCAGCAGCCCTACCAAAATGCACCAATGAAAAAGTGGTATAGATTGAAGCCCAAGGGGAACTTGAACCCAAACTAGGTAAATTGCCTCATCATCACTAGATGAACGATTTTTTTTTCTAGAAATTTTTTTTTTTTGTGAGTTCTTAAAAAGGTTATATCTCACCACCAACGAAATGGAAGTGCCGTGCTTATTTATTTTATTTTATTTTTTAAAGTTTTAGGTGTTTCTTTAAGTTTTTTTTTGGTTGTTCGCACAAAGGAGCAAAATGTACCTTTGTTCCCTCGAGTTCTCTTCTTCTTCTCGTGTCTATTATGACTCATATGAAACTTTCTTCATCCTAAATTGCGAAGCTACAATAAAATTTTCAACCTACATGGTTTATTGTATTGGTTGGCAGTTAATTTTAGCAATACTACATCTCAAGTATAATTTGTACCAATAAACTGCCCTAGATAAATTAGGATATTGCTTGTCGGGTAAATCAGAATTTGGATATTTTCAGAACGGGAAATGACATAATTAGTTGTCGGCAAACGCTTCTGTTCAAATACAATTTATTTCCAAAATCCATCTTAGAAATAGACTGTGAAATTAAAATTTTACAATTTGACAATCTTGACCATCATGATCAATAAAATTTCAAAATATAAAAATAAACTAAAAGTAGAAAAAATAACTTTGAAAACATACTATTTTATTGGTTGACCTTTTTCTTTTTTTTTTGGTAATTTTTACATATCATCATATCTACACTATTTTTAATATGCCGTTGTGAATCTAAAGCATAAATGCACCTAAAATGTCTTAAGACATGTGTCACAACCAAATCCATCTCTAAGATGGACTTATGGAAGGGGACCACATTTGAATAGGTGCATCATGAACAGTGTGAGCCTCAATTGTGATCGGTACCCTTTATTTGAAATATCGAATTGGGTATCAGCGACTACGTATAGGCGTTGTGCCAAGAGATGAATTGTCCATTTACTACTTTAGGTAAAACCTTATGTAGAAGCAATTTTAAGGCTTTAGTTACCCAAAAACGAAGTAATTTGAAGGCTTTAATTTCAGAATATAATCTCTCTTGAGACTCTTTTTTTTTTTTTTCTTTTTTTTTGGGACAAATCAAATGAGGGAGAAAGCCCTCACCTGTTTTTCATTAATAAAAAGAAAGGTAAAATACAACTTATAGTTCTACAACTCTACTATAGGGAATTTGTGCAACATCAAGAAGTAAGGAAGAGTAAGAAAACTAGGTGGTCTTGCACGCCAAATAGTGGCATTAGATAAAGCCGTGGCTTTCTCGGCAAGAGTATCACTTGTAGAGACTATTAAATATCTTGTATTTATCATTTATAGAAAGTGTATATTTTATAGGTATATTAGTTATTGTATGTTATCTTGCTTTACAAGTTATCTCTTATTGTATTATATGTACAAGTTAATAATAATCAATAGCGACACAAAGTTATCTGTAGATATTATGATATTTTAACATGATATCAGAACGATATATTTTTTTCGACAATGTAGAAAGGACTAGTTTTTTTTTTTCGGCAAGGTGTTTTCTAGCATAGATCCTTTACGAATTTTTGGTTTACGCTTCGAGAGAGAGAGAGAGAGAGAGAGGTGGTGACTTTAAGTTTGCGTGAGAGATAAAGATGCCGACTGCAAGTCAGAATAACCCAAATCTCTTTCTAGTTACAAAACTCATATCTCTTTATGATTGCCTTTTTTCTCTTCTATATCATCAATCTCATATACACCAGAGTATATTGATAATATGAATGTCATGTACATTGCTTTCAATCTAGTGTTTCATGACCGGACAAAACATATAGAAGTTGATTGTCATTTCATTTGTGAAAAATTTCTAGCCAGATAAGTTACATTTCCATATATTGCCTCACAACTTGCAGATATTTTTATCAAGGCAATGACTCGTGCTTGACATTACTATCTCATTGACAAATTGATGTTGTTCAATCAATCTTATTTTGAAGGAAAGTATATAGACCATTGAAGATATTGTATTTATCATTTATAGAAAGTATATATTTCATAAATATATTACAAAGGGAAAGGTTTCTATGTTCCCCCTATAATATAGAAGTTCCATCCTCCCCCTACCGTCCAGCTATCCATTTTTTATCAAAAGAGCCACTCACTGTGTGATCTTAGATTCGACATTTTAAAGTATTTTATTTTTAGTTTTTTTAATACATTTTTTTGAATATGAAATTTAGTACGTATCATCTTCTCATTGGGGCGCACTTATAAAAAATATTGATAATGATTTTTCGACAAAAATTAATGACCAAAATACCATTTGAATCTTCCAGGGGTATTTTGGTCATTTTATTTTATTAAAAAAAATATTTTTATATTTTTCGTTAGTGCGAGTTTAATAGAGGAATGGACATCCAAAATTTGGTATTAAAAAAATTTATAGAAAAATAAATAAAAATAAAACAGTGTAGAGACGTGACATTGTGATTGGGACAATCTTAGCCCTCCATTAAAAAGTTGACGGTTGGATAAAGGGGAGGATATAACTTTTATGTTGTAGGGGAACATAGAAAGTTGTCTCTATTGCTTATTGTAAGCTATATTGTGGTGTAAGTCAACTTATTGTGCAAGTTACATCTAATTGTATTATATATACAAGTTAATAATAATCAATAGAGACATAAAGTTCTTTGCAGAGCTTATGAGATTTCTAACATCAACCACCATATTAGCCTTACGAAAGATATGTGAAAACGACCACACACGGTCAGTGAGCTTATGTCGCCAGTTGGCAGCCTATAAGGGGACAAACATCCAATAGAAATATACTTCATAAAAACAACTACAAAAATAGTATAGACTTGAACATTTTAAAATGAGCAACTAAAATAGGAATAATTTTTCCTAAGCTACTAGCTATAATTAATAGTATAAGTTACTAGTTCCCAACCGTTAGATCATTTATCACGTGGTTCAAAATTCATATTACCATTTTAATTTTAATTTTTTTCTATAAATCAGATTAAAATGAAATTTTGGGTTATATACCTAACACTATTGCACACAATATAAAAATATAAAAGAATTATTTTCAATAATTTAAAATTACCAAGTTACCCCCATCATGTTTTAAATGTATTTCGGTTATTTTATATTTTAGAATATTTATTTATTTATTGTGTACTATATTTTTCAGCACACACGTCCAAAATTTCATTACGATTTGATTTATAGAAAAAAAATATTAAAATTTAGATAGTGATATGAATTTTGAACTACCCGATAAAGATTTGACGGCTGAAAGCTAATATAGCTTATACTATTCATTATAGCTTGTAGCTTGGTAAATATTTTTCCATTAAAATAATATGTTACATTATTTTTTAGATTTGAAATCCTTTTTCTTTTCTCTAATATAAATGATTATTGAAATTAAAATCATCAAAGTTTTCTTAGCTAGAACAACGATCATCGTGAGATCTGAGTTGGGGTCTTAAAGAATTGCGACCCCGCCTTAATCTACTCCTTATTTTTTTTTTTGAGAAATTTGAAAATAAGCATCTAAGTGATGAACTAATTAACATCTCACTAACATTTTTTTGATTAATTTAAAAATTTCTGCCAACAGAGACGAGTATAAATTAAAGTAGGCGGTTCTTGGGAAATTTACGCCAATGTCTTTGTTTTATTTCATAAATACCTCAAAAAGTTTGATTTTACCTTTATACAATATTTTTTTTTTCAAATTCCCCCTACTTGAACTTGTAGGCTGGACTAAACTTTTCTTTTTTATTTCGCTTATAAAATTTTCTAACATGAACTTAGACTTGCAAAGTCCGATTTTGGGTTTTGTGCTCAACTGTTGACAAATATTGAATTCAGACCTTCAAAGTCTGAAGTGGATGTTTAAGAATGTTTATTACAAGATCATTTTGTTGTTGTTGTTGCTGTTTTTTTTTTCATGGTTCGAAGCTAACATTTGAGATATTTTGACAACTTTTGATGTAAATATTAACTTTGAATTTTAAAGATCCGAAGTTATATTATTTGTCGTTCAAGATTGAAGTATAATCATAAGTAAAAAATATTAAAATCCAAAACCTCTAAGGTGCAAAGCAACAATAATTTGGAAAATCAAAATTTTATTACAAAAAGATATAAGGAAATATAATAAGGAAAATTTATTAGAACACCATCAAGAGATGAACTACTTAACATTCTACTTATTTACAACTATTCAAACTAAAAATCATGTTGTTTTTACTTTGGAAAATTGTTTCATGCAGCCTGGACCGCATTTCTACACATGCGATCCAGAAAGTATAAAGCTCCCAGCTTAAAGATGGATGCAATTCGGTGTTCCATCTAAAAATAATAGAAACCAACGGTCCAAATGTTTTATTACTACTATTAATATTTTTAAAATTTTAAATTTAGTTATGTTTTCATATTTAAGATCTCCATTTTAGATATTGCATATCTTTAAAAATTAAGTTTTAAAATCCATTTAAAAAATAGATTTATTAATAAGACTGCAGTTCTACATATGTGGGCTTGGTCGCATAGAAACCATGTCTTTTTACTTGTACTTCAAGATTAAATAAAAAATATGGGCAGTATGTAAATTGATGATCTCTCACGAATAATTAATAAAGTTCTCTAAAATTAAACATTGAGATAAATTTGCATGGAAAAAGTTTACATGAGGTTGCAACTTATACACCTAAAAAAATCCATATAAAAAGGTTGTTTTAATATTGAAATAACCTCTAATTGATCATCTCGACTTTGACATGTTTGAATATGGAAAAACAAAAGATTTTGAGTCCTACAAATACATCTTGTAATACATTATTTGGACCGTCTGTTTTTTAGATTTTCATATGTTTATAGATCTCCTTGATTTCAACTATTTTTTGAGTTTAAAATTTTATAATTAAATATAAAAATAAATTTTAAAATAATCCTAAATTTTTTTGCTATCAAAATTACATATGATAAGATTCGGAGGTGCGCCTTAATCGTATTATAGGTTGTGACCCTATAGAAACCACACCCAATTTGCATACCTGGGAATAACGGCAATTTAGAATATTAATTTATCCCACAAAGCCCCCTCATGTAACGTTTTTCTCACCGTAACGAATGGTCGTTAGAGATATGTTTCAATCGAATGGTTATTATTACACCGAGACGAAGCTCAGGGGTTTTGTGTATAAATACCGTTACTATTTCTATCGATTTCCCCTTTTGTCCTATTTTTTAGCTTCACTCCCGCTTACTTTGCCCGCGTTTAAATTTCTAGGTTTTATTCTTCTATATGCAAATTTTTTTGCAGGGTTTTCCAGTTCAATTGTTCTATTTTGGGATCAAAAGTTGCAGATTTGAAGTGTTTACGGGGAATTTGAAGAAATACTGAGTCTGTAAGACTCGTTTCTAAGGTATCCTGAGAAATAAGTGGAATTTGGGGATTTATAGCCCCAGATCTGGTGTAGATTGAAGAGTTATGAAGAGAATGGTGATATAATTTGTATGAGACTGAAGAAAATTGCATTTCTAGATCCAGATTTGAAGAAATTTGGAGAAGTGTGAAGAAAATTTGGTTTGTCAACCTAGTTTTCAAGAACTTCTTAGAAATGATGGTGTTCTATGTTTGTGATATCAAAATATTTTGAGTTATCATCTGGTAAATCAAAGGAATTTTAAGAGATATCGAATTTCTATATCTGGACTCCAAGTAATTAAAATGCACACAAGAATTTTTGATTTCCTTATCCTATATCGAAAGTAATGAAAAGTGATATTGGGAACATTGTTGCTCTTCAATATTGGAAGGTGTTTTTTGAAGAAAACGGAACAAATTTTGAAATTTTCAGCTGTTAATTGATAGAAGCTCAGATAATTTTACAGGCTATCTGGAGGCTTGATACATTAGGGCAAACTCATGCATTGACGCTGTTAAACATTGCAGTCTCATTTGATTTCGACAAGGTTCGAAGAAGATTGTGATTGGCTCGAATTTACTGGTAACCACCTGTTTTTATCTTCTGTACCGTAGAGAAACAGGATGGGTAGAAATCTGGTTCATATTAAGTTTTTTTTTTTCCTTTCTCTCTCTCTTATATATGTACATGTATGTATGTATATATGTATGTATAGTTTTTTTGTTCCAAATTTAAAGGTGTTACGATTGAAGGTTTACATGAAGCATGTGCTTTGGATCTTGCAGGTGACTTCTTCTTCTATTGCAGTCATTGAAGTCTCTCCTCCATGACACCATCTAGTTCATGAGATTGACTGCATTTTTGTTGGAGAAGATAGGGTCTTTATTTGCGGGTTGCTGGTTATTATGAGAAATGAATAATTCGATATTTCATAACAAAATACATATGCATATTGTAAAACGGATAAATGTGTTAGAAGTTAGAACCTTGATATCATCGAAGTTAAGAGTCTAAGTGGGCCAGGCAAATCACGAAGTATAGTGTTTATCGAGCTTAATTTTTTGATTTGTTGAATAAATCAGTAGTGTTTGGACTTGTGGGGTTCTTGTACAACTAATGGAGGAGGAGAAAAAGAAGAAGAAAAACAAGAAGAAGAAGAGTAAACAAAACAAGAATGCAGAAGCCACAGTCGTTAATGGTGGAGAAACATCTAATTTGGATAAGAACGAACTAGTTAACTTTGATTCAAATCATAAGGCAATTGATTTGGTTGCAGCAAAGAATAATGATGCAGGATCTTCAGAACCGGAGGTTAAGCAGGATGTATACGAGGCCCATAAAATGGCAAGCATACTTTTCATGGTAAGTTCATCAAAACCATGTAACACTTGTTCCTCAATATTTATTATTCTAAATTGTGAAGTTGAAGGTTCAGTAGCTATTGGATCTAGCTGTGTCCATATCTTAGGGCTTGTTTTTAGTTGAAGGTTTTTTTCATCAGATTTGCGTTAATTTGAGGTGAATTTTAGTATTTAATTGGGCTTATGTATGGGGTTCTCTATGAGTGAAGATGTTTTGATTTGTCAAGCAGCAAGATGGACACGATTATTATATCTAGAAATAAGAACTTTTGACTACAGTTTGCCCCATTCCACTTGTAATGCTTAGCTTTGGATTTTGTTTTGTCCTTCAACTTTGGCTCCATATTTATAGTATTTATGCTGCTAAGGCAATATTTTGAAGTGGCCGATAGTGTGCTGACTTTTGGATGAATAATTTGGTAATTTTATCTTGATAAGTTATTTTTGATGTATTGCATTGTACAAAGGACAAATTCATGGCGTAACTGACATTACCCCCTCAGTATAGGCACTCTTATTTTTTGTTTCCTTACTAATGAAACACATGTGCTTAACCTTTTCTTTGGCTCGGGAACCTATTCTAACCTGCTTGATTTGTACAAGTCTTTTGGCACCAAACTTGAATGCATAAAACTAAATCTTAAAGGGACTGTTTGTCGACATCACCTATCTGGGAGTGAGGGCAATCTTCTGTTTTTCATTCTTCTTTCAGTAGAAATTGATTTCCTCTCTAAAGTGCTTAACTGACAGGAGAAATTAGAGGAAGAAGTCAGACAGTTGGAGGAGGAAAAACAATCTTGGATTTTGAGGGAGGTAACTTTCGCTCCTCAGATCCTACCTTTCAATTGTTCTCTCTTAATATTTAAAATCCTAGGCATCAGATATCCATGGCATTGAGGTGTTTGTTTTGGAAATGGTTTACAGGCTCGCTTGGATGAAGAAATAAAAAGTCTCAAGTCTGAGAAGCATTTGTGGCTTTTGAAAGAGGTAAGTGTTGGAGTTAAAAATGCATTGACCACTTACAATGTGTGCTTTTTCTTCATTTTCTATTAGTTATTATTCTTTCATGTCAGGACTTATATAAGTATTTGTTATATTACATAGTGGGGTTGTCACTGACTGATTTGCTATTTAAGGCAAGCTTGGTGGAACAAGCCAGGGGTTGTCACTGACTGATTTGCTACTTACATAGTGGGGTTGTCACTGACTGATTTGCTATTTACATAGTGGGGTTGTCACTGACTGATTTGCTATTTACATAGTGGGGTTGTCACTGACTGATTTGCTATTTACATAGTGGGGTTGTCACTGACTGATTTGCTATTTGTTATATTACATAGTGTGAAAAGGATTCATGGATTTTGAGGGAGGTAATATACTCTTTCCTTGTGCATCTGTGCTGTGTTCATCTAAATGTTTCAGATAAGTTGATCATCAGCGAAATGCAATTAAGATTTGCAAGATTGGGATAAATGACGATGATACTCTTAATGCCTATAAGCAGCATAGCCAAAATTGACAGCAAAGGACAATTTCATTGGATTGTTTTTTGTTTTTCATTGAGTTCCATTGTTCTATGTGAGAAAATGTTTGCATGACTTTCAACTCATTTGGAACAGCAACATCCTCTATAAGATTTTAATTGTACATTTCTAGGTTGTAAATGACTGTTTATTCCATCACGGCTTTTTGCAATCCCTGCATGCAAGTCTGAGACATATGCTCTCACGGCTGAAATTTTTTTTATTGTACCAAATAAATCGCTGTCAGTTCTCGTGAGAACCTCTTCAACTTGTATGTTTTGCGCTAACATGGGCATCTTTCTGCGTATAAGGATTTTTTTTGGATTTCTTCAAATTTCATTGTTGTCACTTCTGTTTTATTAAAGCAAATCTAGTGTACCATCAGAAAGCCATTAGAGTCATATTTTTAACTTGTCAAAACTAATATCCCTTGAAAATTATTTGACATTTCATGCTGTGTGTGTTTTAATTGTCAAAAAAGATGCTATATAATGTTTGGGTTCTGTATTCTCATTTCCAGGGAACTATCCCTTGTATATTCCATTTATGTTTTTGAGCCTCTGAAGTACAACCATTGTATCTTTGATTCAGGTTTTAGACTTATTCACTAGATTGTTGGAAATACTCCCATGAGGTCATTTCATCTTTTTCTTACATCATTGATTCCCTTAAACTTTTCTGATAATTTGACCTTGATTTTTTTTAAGTTGGCAGACTGAGAGAGAGGAAGCAAGCATCAAGCTTAAGAATGAGTTGTTGGTGCTTCGTCAAAAAGAGGTGAGCTTTCTTTTTATTGCTTAGCTCATGGTGTTTAATTTTTGAAATGTATCTCATAGTGTTTAATTGCAGTAGTTGAATGGTATTTTGAAACCTCAGTTTTTATGAGGCAACATTTACTAGTTCAATTGATTCTGTTAAAATGCTTTTATATCCTCTTGATTGAATGGCTATACAATGAATGAAAATATGCATTCGTACAAGTTCTATGCTTAAGAGTGTATTGCTAGAAGTCCCCATAATTTATCCAATGATCCTGACTCCTCCAGTAGCCAACAATCATCAAGTCATCCTTTTCATTATTGCGCTTACAAAAAGAAACATATACAGACTCCAAAACCATCCAAAATCTCTTCAATGACATCACAAAATCTCTAAGAGGAAAATAGACCTTAACAGCCCACTTTTCAACATCCAAGGGCCATAAAGCGAGCCTTGGCTTTTGTGGAATCACCTACCTATCATATGCTACACTCTCAGTCTTAACTTTGACTGCAAGTCTACGACCCTGACCCCAGTAGGGCTGAAGTCACCTTTCGAATTTCCATTGAAATTTAGTTGGAGTATCCCCTCTAGTTGGACTGTAGTGCCTCTCTTTCCTCTCTAGTTTTATGACATCACGCAACTTGAGTTCTTCTCAATGTGTGCAAACCTCTATTGCATAAAGTCGTTTTATTATGTGTTCGAGTGATCTATTTTATTTTGAAAAAGTATATAACTAGACCCCAAATAGTTGGAATAAGGCTCAGATAATGATGATGATATAATTAGACCATTTACCTTTGGTACAAGGTGGTCACTATCACCCATAGCCATAAGATGTAAAATCGGGTGGCTGGAGATGTGTTTTTGGTCAGGCCTGGAGTTAAAAAAAATTTCTCAAATTTTGTGACATACCTGGAGTTAGTCAAATTTCACAGCTGATGGCTAGGGGTGATTGTGACCCTCTTGTACCGAGTATAATGGTTTATAATATACAATTCCTTTTATTTTTCTTGTATTGAATCTCATCCATGAGATAGTAGCATACCTAATCTCATCCACATCTTCACCCTGCACTGCCACCTTTCCCAGAAAAATAATTTGATTTCTCTCCTTCCATGATCCTCCAAACCCTACAAGGTCCATCCCTTTTGCACCCTCTCATTTCTAGGGAATCCTCAAAGGCTTGTACGCTTAGAGGCTGGCCTTTGTGTGGGGCTACCATGATACCCTAAAAACTCCAAAGAAATAAGTATAGAAAAATGGATACAAAAGTGCGATGGACAAGCAGTGGTTTAACAAATTTTTCACAGAATTGCACCAACACACCACAGAAATTTGAATTTGGAAGTTTCCGTGTTGCCAATGGTTCTGTGTTGTTATCGTATCTCTTGCAGCAATTCATTTGAAATTTAACACTTTAAGAGGAATCAGGGTAATTTACACATGCTGACTCATGGGAAACTGCTCCTTATTACTCCCAAGAAAGTTAGGAGGAATATCTAAGTTCATTATGTTGATTCCACTTAGATATATCTATCCTCCATTTCTCCCCAGATTGGTGTGTAAACTCGCTCCCTGACCGATTTCTGTGACTTATTCCTTCTAGAGCACAAACTGCGAACAACTTTTCCTTCCCTCGTTTCATAGCAATCTACCACTTTTAGCCTCCCATGGCTCCACTTGCCTACGTCTAGAAGCGGTTAACCAGCAGTACAAACAACACCATAAGTCCCTGTTCCAAACTTCATACCTAGTCTGCGAGTCCCTTTTTTGAAGTTTACAACCCACTGAAAATAGCCCTCGCACTACCAGACCCACAACCGAGCATACTAAACTGCTTGAGGCCCCATATTTACCCAACTTTTTGCAGTTATTTGTGCATCAAGAGGACTTTGAACGCATTCCTCAAATTGTTCAAATGGCACATCCCAAGAAGAGCACTCCCTCAATCTCTCTGTATCCATAATGTGTTACACCCTTTGGCCTACATAACTTCCCTATTTCACAGAAGGGGATTGGAGCCCATTTTACCTCTCACCACATTAGTTTCCTCTATGACCACTTGCATCTAGAAGAGGCATGGAAATCGTTCACTTTATCCAAGAATAGATTGTTTAACCCTTCAAAACTCTTCTATCTGCACCGCTCCCCATTTCTTTCTCTAATTAATATTTTTTCTTGAAACCAACTCCTTAGTACAAATCAGTGGTTCTCTTCCTGCCTGGACAGGAGGGGACTCAAGAGTATCATCAGGTTCGAACATCTATTTTCTGTCTTCTGAGTTTTTGGGTTGATATACTGGGGAAACCGCGAGGCAATTATGTGAATAATTTAAGTGTGAATAATTTAAGCTTACATCTTGTTCTGTACTTAAATCTGTGATATTAATTTGTTGACATGAACTTGAAAGGCATTTTACCTTATGCAGACTTCAGCCGGAGAAGAAGTTGCAAGATTGAGTGAAGTAAATGCAGATTTGGAGATTCAGGTTAGCAGCCTTTTGCTTAATTCTTGATCTCTCTTTCACAGATAGATAAATGATTTTTCAGTTAAACACTACCATTGTCTATCATTGTCATCATCTCAAACGTACAAACAGTTCCTTGTTTGATGGATAATGCTAGACTACTAGACTGAATGATTAATGTATGTTTTGGATCTCGAGACACGCAAACTCAGCTTGTATTGGCAGTTCATAATATCTGGAGAAATCCATTCACACTTCCAACGCTTGAAAATGCACCCCATCTGCAGTGCTGCAACTCACAAATGACATGAACCAGAGAAATTGGAAGGACAAAACCCTTGTGTACAATTGTTACATGGATTGAAGGCGTCCCTTCAGTTTTTGTTGCTTAATTGCATCAGAACTATTCAGTTATGAGGCATATAGCATCATACTTAATCAAATGCAGAATTTTGGTTTTCACTTCCTATGAGGCTTTTACTTAGAATGGTACTTTTCTGGACCTGCTTTTCTTCTGGACCGATTATCGGGAAAACTTTACTTTGACCCTTGGGCCAAGAACTGTACGTGTTGATTGATGGGCCAAACACCATGTTAGGGAGGTTTGTCTACCGCCAAATTTCTCAAATCCTATCTTTTCATTTTTAAAATTGTTCTTAGATAAAACAAAAACAAAAAAAAAATTGTTGCTGAAAAGGGATAACAACTCAATCCCTGCTCTAACAACTCTGCAGACGATAGGTTGGCCATGGGCTCGGTACCCTGGTCCTGAAAAACTATGGCCTGGGCCACAAAATATGGCCCGAGGCAGGGCCAGGGTGGCCTAGACCTGGGCCTGGTCTGGCCCCTGTTTTTTTTTAATTATTATTTTTTGAGTCAGTCGGAGAATATAGAGAAAAGAGGAATAGAAAGAGAAGAAGAAGAGAAGAGAGAAGAGAAAAATATGAGAGGAAAGAGAATATGTGACTCTCACGCACTTCTCAGCCTTATATGTTACTAAAATTTATGATATGGACAAAATTGGTCATAGAAATATAGTTAGGACACTTAGGTCCAAAACGTAGATAGTGAAGGATTTTAATAGATTCTATTAGACCTGGCTAGGGCAGGGCATGGGCCAAAGCCGTTTCAAACCAGCCTGGCCCATGGGGACCCAGGCCTGCTCGGGCCAGGGTTGATAGGCCCTTTGCCAGCCATGTCAGATGATGAGATCCAAAGTTTCTTTAAAGAGCTGAAATTTTCTTTTTTGAAAGTGATCCTGAGGTGAATAGAAAACTATTCGAAAAATTTCTGATCCTTAAAATCCTCTTAACATGTTGTTTGGCCCAGGGGGTGAACACGTGTTTTTTTTATTCTTGTGAGAAAACATCAACATGTGCTATATTTACCCATGGAGACCTAGAAAATTTCCCCTGATTATTTACTTCGCATCATTCACTACAAGAAAGGTCTTATTTTCCTCAACACAGAAAATGAAAAATTTACTAGTTATCCATCTGATGCAGCAAGAGACTCAATCAACAAATAGAGTGCCAAAAAAGCTTTTGTTGTGGTCAAATTTGAATTGCTTGTCTTTAGCATATCCAAATTATGGTTAGCTGCTATTTCTATTTTTGGTCCCTGATGTTGGTTAAAACAACATACTTTCAGATAAAGAAGCTGGAAGAATCCAGGGGTGAGCTTTTAGAAGAACGTCAGCAATTGATGGTCAATATTAATCATTTAGAATCTCGAATACACCAGCCTGAAATAGAGATTGCTGTCTCTGCTCCTGTGGAGCATGGTATTGGCAGTTTTCATTCTTCATCAGAGGTTAAAAAGGTTTGTTTTCTTTTCCAGAGCTTGTTATTTCTTGTTGGGTGCCATGTTTCTCTGAATTCAACCCTTATTCTCTGGTTTCTAGGATTGCGAATTTACTTATATTTGAGATTTTCCAATAGTGATATACCTGTAGTTCTTGATGGTGGAAAGAATTTTGCGTAAGCATTTCTTTTAAATGGCTTAAAGGGGTTTCATGCTTGTAAAATTTTATGGACCATGTCCTTGCATGTTACACCACGCCTATGTCTAGTCATTAATCTAGTCTACATGAGCAATGACACACACTTGTACACACAAATGGACATAGAGAAAACAAAAATGTTGTACTTTTTTTTTTTTGGCTTAAGAAAATGTTGTGCTTAGTAGAAACCAAATACCAGTGATTTGATATTATTTTTTGAAGATAGATCTTAGTCCTATTAGTAGAATTAGCTAACAATGGTGTTCAAGTTTCCTCAAAAGGAAGAAAAATAACATGCTAGTCCATGTTCACTTAGGGCCCTTTTGACTTATTGCATTTCGTTTTTTGGTGGGGTGGGGGGAAGAGGGGTAATTTAGCAGTATGAGGCCCATTGGTTCCCTTGTGACTTATTGTATTCCTTCCTATGCGAAATGATTGATTCCTTTCATGTTAAATAATTGGTGAGTGTCTTTGATTGTCAGTTACTGGGTTGATGGATCTCAATGCTTTTTGGTATAAATGAAGGGCTTGTATATTATGAGACCATTTATCTTTGTTACAAGGAGGTCACAATTGCTAGTAGCCGTTAGATGTCAAATTGGATGGCTTGGAGTGTGTTATGAAGTTCGAGAATTTTTTTTTTTAAACTTCGAGTCTAGTCAATGACACTCACAACTACCCGATTTGAACTCTGACGGACAAGAGTGATTGTGACGTCCTTGTATTAAAAATAAATAGTTTCCTTGTATACTTTTTCATAAATAATGTGTTTATTTTGAAACTATAGTTTTTTGTATCCAATAACTAATTTTGATTTGTGATGGGAATTGAAGCTCTCCCTGTCTCTCTCACTCCTGGTCTTGGCAATGTACCTCTTGTGTCCATAAGTCTCCACTCTTAATTCGACATCAATTGTGCAGCAAGAGTCTGTTCATCACATGGAACCAGCTTCTGATGAGATCATTATTCAGAGAGATGCAACTGCAGAGTTAGTGAACAAGCTGATTGCTCAGAATTCAGAGCTGGTCGAAAAGGTAACCGTGAGTTCTCGTTGTCTAGGTCTGAACTACTGCATAGGAGTTTTGGTTGTTGGTAAAACCTCTATTTAGGATTTCGGGCCAAATATTGACTGGGAAATCTGGTCACCAGTTTATGAAGTCGTTGCCAATTTGCACAGCCAAATGTCCTTTGTTCGAACTCTCTCTCTCACACACACGAAAAAAGAAAATCACTAGTCTGAGTCAACATACTTTAAACTGCCTAATTTCTCACTTTTTATGTTCTCTCTCTCTCTCTCTCACACACACACACACACACTCTCTCTCTCTCTCACGTACACAACCAACTCACTTGTTTGAGACAATCTATTTTAAACTGCCTGACCTCTCTCTCTCTCTCTCTCTCTCTCGTATACACCAGCACGCACACAATTCACAAGTCTCAACTTATTTTAAGCTGCCCAATTTCTCGCTTTCCAAGTTCTCTCTCTCTCTCTCACGTATGTATTTCTTTTGTTAATGTTTTTGTGCTAGTGTGAGTGTGTAAGATAAGTCGCTTGATACAAATTCCTAAGTCGAAAATAATCACATGTCAGGTGAATGAACTTAAAATCCAATTGGATCATCTGAAAAATGATGCCGGAAAATCCCCATCACATGAATTCCAGTCCAAACCCAATGTGCCATCAGCTCGCAGCATTGAGAGCAATGTTCGTATCGTCTCAACCACTCCAATGCATAAAGAAATCGACCCTAATTCAGTGTATATCGATGAACAGAGAGGAGAGAATGTGCTGTCATATGGCCCTGTTTTAGTGCTTGATCCTGCAGCTGGGACTGCTAGAGATCAAACTCAATGCCATGATCCTTTGGTCGAGATTAACATGAGTGGATTGCAAGGCCACAATCCAGTGGCTGAGATCAGTGAGGATGGTGTTCGGGGCCAATATCCGGCAGCTGAGATTAAAGAGGATGGAGTTGGAGGCCGTGATCCATTGGCTGAGATTGGCTTGAGTGAGGTGCATGGGTCTTATCCAATGGCTGAGATCAACCTGGACGGTGATCATGATTCCGGCTCCACAGCCGAGATCAGGAGTGAGTTGCATGTGTCTCATCCGTCAGCCGAGATGAGCACCATAGAGATTGCTGCAGCTAATCCAACGGTTGAGATCAAGAGCAATGATGGAGGGATCCCTCTCAGTGATGCACCACTTATAGGGGCTCCTTTCCGCATGTTGTCTTTCTTTGCCAAATATGTGACTGGGGCAGATTTGGTAAAGCCAAAAAATTTGGTCCAATATTGAGTTTTCTTTCCCAAGTGACCCAAATAGTTGAGAAAAGACTATGATGATGATGATTGAGTTTTATTTTCTTCCCCCTCCTTTTTTTTAAATTTTTTTTGTTGTTTTGAATAGAGAGATCACTGGTAAAACCAGACCTCACATTTTTGTTGTTTATTTATAATACAAATTTACAAATATCAATTACAGATCTATTTGATCTTTTTTCATGGGTAGTTGCATTATTTTCTATGGCAATGTCCCCTTGCAGAATCTGTGTTCACTGGGATGGTTACCATTCATGGGTTGAGCTTTGAGAAATGGCTACTATGCCCCCAATCTAAATTGAATTGTGCCTGCTGCCGCAACAAGGTTTTTACGGAATTTATTATGGAAAAGTATTTGGTGAGTTGGGCGGCGGGCGGCAGGCTCATGTGCCTGTTCTGCTTTTTGAGGGATTTAAGACCTGAAACATATCCTTAATCATTGTACATCCATTTTAACTTGATATCCATGAATTCAGAGCTTTAAACACAACACAATCTTTCAAGAATTAAAACAAAGATCAGAGAAAAAGTTTGAAATGGACTATATTTAAGACAATAAAGTTTTTTGTATTCATCATTGTGATGATCAAGATAAGTGGCATAAGAAATTTTTGGATCCAAAATTCCAAAGATGTTTACATTAGAATTAATGGTGCAATTTTTTTGTATTCATCATTGTGATGATCAAGATAAATGGCATAAGAAATTTTTGGATCCAAAATTCCAATGATGTTCACATTAGAATTAAGATACACTCTCATGAGATTTTTGCTACAAGGAAAGCATGCTATGATCTATATGACCACAGAAAACAGGTGGTCACAAGTGTATATCACCGTTGAATCAATGGATGGGTGGTGATACAGGGGGAGCGGGACCTACCATGTCACATTCTTATGATTCCACCTTCTCTCCATCTCCAAAGATCGGACAGTTATTTATCCCTATAGCTTTCCTATGATAAAATGGATCATATATTCCTTTACGAAGTTTGACTATCTTGTATAGTGTGCTTAAATGCATCTGGGGGTGCATATGTTGACCGAGTCTACCCCTCCAAAAATTCATTTTGGAGATAAGACTTTTGATCCTAATTTTTGCAGATTATCATCGTGACCACCACGATCACAAATATGAAAAAATAAATAAATTTTTAAGCCTTAATTTTTTTTTCTTTTGTGGTTTTTCATTCATTTTAATTCAAAACCTATCAGATCTATAGTATTTTTTGAGCTTCAAATTCATGGAACATCATCATCCGAGCTTTATTCTAACTATTTAGGATCGGTTACGCGAATCTTTTTCCGTCATTTTGCTTTAGTGAGAGCTATACCATTAGTCAAACCATAATTCATCATCTCTTTGTTCTCTAGTTCCATCTATGTCCTTTTGAGCATTTTTCTTGTTTTTTTAGAGTCTTCTACTTGAACGAAAGCACGTCTCCTAACCGTGTTATTTTAGTTCGACATTGCACATGACTAGACCACTTAAGTCCATTTTCTTTCATCTTATCGCCTTTGAAGCTATCTCTAAATGCATAAATATGAAACACTAATAAATTTTACAAGGATTTGAGATGTGTTTCAGGTCATACATCTCTAAAAAAAATAGGGCACAGACATGAATCGGTCCACTCACCATGTACTTTTCTTCTAACGCACCAGGGGCAACATGAGCTAATCCATGATAAGAAGATAAAAAGGAAGATATGAAAAGGGAATGAGATATAGCCTAGAGGACCACTTGCACCCTCTTATTCATCTTTGCACTAAGGATGCTGTCCCAAAGTGGCCTCCAGTTTTTTTGCATTTGCAATTGATGTACCTAACATATGCATGATGCCCTCCAGATTGGCTCCCAATTCCTCACATCTCTTACCCAAAATCTATGAACCCTGTTTTAGCACATGTGATGTTCAAAATGCCTACTGAAATTGGCCATTGGGGCCCAGTTTAGGGTTTTCCCTAACTTGATGGCCTAGATTGAAGGAATGTTGGGCCTTTCAGAAGATCTTGGCCGTCGAATACAGCCGCACCCACCCTTTGAAATGATCTCGGCCATCGAAAGCCACAAAATAGGGACTGAGATGAACATAACTATTAGGCAATAGGGTGGAGTTGGACCCCCTTTACTTCTCCACCTACTCATATATAACATAGGTGTATGCTCCTAGCCGTTGTGAGAGGTCCTATCTTTTTAGTAAAGTTTAAAACCACGAGGGGTTTTGAGTATGGGTTTGAGAATGGCCATTTCTAGAGCTTACATTTCCTTTCTCTCCACCTTCTTTATTCTCTTTCTCTTGAGAAATAATGGTGGAGTGGGTGCTACCACCCTTGGATATTACTCTGAATCATGCCCTAATGTGGAGGAAATTGTCAAATCAAGTGTTGAATTCTTTGTTTCCAATGACAATTCCCTTGCCCCAGCTCTTCTTAGACTACACTTCCATGATTGCTTTGTACATGTAATTAAGCCTCACCATTGCTCCTTCAAGTAGATTTAGAGCCCATAATGCACGTAGTGCTAGATTTAGAAGTTGTCTATGTGAAATTCATGTCTATAAGTTTTTAAAATTTTTTCAAGTCCTACTCGGACACGTATGACTTATTCAGAATTCACATGTTGCCGGCTCTGGATGGGCCAGGCTCGACGACCGAGTTTGATCAGAGTCTGATTTGAGTTTGGTCAGAGTTTGGCCGAGCTTGATCCGAGTGCTTCAAGAAAGTATGGTTTTATAAAGACGAAAACTGGAGAATCACCTCGGGACACGGCCCAAGAGTGGCTGAGTCTCGCGGCGAGTCCAAGGTTTAAAACAATAATGTCTGCTTATGTATCTTGTGCTTGATTCAGAGGTGTCTACTTTGTAATTAGGCTTTACTAGTGTATCTTGTGCTAGATGTAGAGGTGATTGCATGCAACAAAAGTTTTACTATGTGTACATGTGCTAGATTGAGGAGTTTATTCATGCAGTTGAGGATTATACATATTAAAAACATTGGTGCGGATTCGGAGTCACTAGGATTTCGAGCTCGATCACCTAGTCCCACATGGGCGAGTCCCGAGTCAGACCAGTGACTTTAAAAGAAAATAGGGTTGGGGGGACTCAGGATGAGTACAGAGGTTGCCTTTGGACTCATTGGGGCACCTACCCAAGCCAACTTGGGAGAGTCTATACCCATTCTTCGAATTTTCGAACACTGTTATCAAGAATTGGAGAGAGATGTTAGTGATGGTGGTGGCTTTTGTTGTAGGGATGTGATGGTTCGGTGCTCTTGGAGGGGTCTTCGAGCGAGATGAGCGCGCCTGCTAACACCGGGCTACGTGGTTTCCAGGTGATAATGGATGCAAAGGCTGGCGTTGAAGCAAGGTGTCCCGGTGTTGTCTCGTGTGCTGATATCCTCGCACTCGCCGCACGTGATGCCGTAGTTTTGGTCAGTATTTTGTGTGTGTGTGAGCGTGCGCATGCGTGTATTTTTTTTTTTAGGGGGGTGGTTAATTTGTTCTTGTGTTGTGAGGAGAGAGAAAAGAGGGACTATATGTTTGCTTGTGTGCATTTGGGGGAGAGGTGTTGGATCACTTTCTTGTGTTTTTTGCATGTGTTTGCGTGAATGTGAGAGCAAGAGAGATGGTTTTTGTGAGCTAGTTTAGAGTGGGCCAATTTTAGGTATACATTACATGGAAAGTCGTAAACCAGCGTTTTTTTTTTTTTACACTGCTTATTTATTTATTTTTAGTTTTCCCGTTGGTAGGGCTCAGATGGTGAGGTCCCCATCCTCGGATTGATCTTTTCTTCTACAAAAAAAAAAACAAAGAGCGGTCCGAGGATGGGGACTTCTGACCCGCTTTAGAATTGATTCAGGGCTCAATTCCAAAGTGGCCCGAGGTCATTGGACAGCTCTGGAACAGAGCCTACTAACGAAAAAACTAAAAAAACAAAAAACGGTCTAAAGATGACATCATCGGATCGAGAGATAATTTGTTAAAAAATAAAAAAAACACAGGTTGATCAACTTTCCGTGTAGTTTTCGCCCAAAATTAACCCATTTCATATATATATATATATATTTATTTATTTTTGGTGTTCATGCGTAAATTACTTTTTTTTGAAGTTAATCTAGCTTAATTTGAGTCATGCTAATATCACCTTAGAAGAGAAATATCTCTCCCTCTGTCTCAAATCTGTCTGAGTTGCTACTAAGGTTGAGAATTGTTGATGTGTTCAGACAAAGGGACCGTCATGGGAGGTAGCGTTGGGAAGATTAGATGGACTCAAATCTTCAGCTTCGGACACTAATGACATGCCCTCGCCTTTTGACTCCATCTCGCTCCTTGCTACCAAATTCGCTGCCAAGGGCCTCTCACTTGAAGACCTCGTTGCACTTTCAGGCATCTCTCTCTCTCTCTCTATTCTGCCCACCATTATACACATGCCCCAACTTTTCTACAAAAGGTGGCAATTGGCCCAGTGGCCCTACCCTAAACTACTTAGCCTTGGGGTATTGAATTCTGCCCAAGAGCCGGGCCCAGCTTGAAATTTGGGTCTGGTGTTCAGTCCTGGACAAGAGGTCATGGCTTGGCCCTAGCCGACTTTATTTTCTAAGAGAAAAGTTAATATATGTGGGTCGGCCCAACCAAGCTAGCCTTTTCCTTTGATAAGGCTGGGCCAAGCTACCTAGCCCAACCAAGCATGGGTTAGCTTCCCTTTGGTCCTATCCAAGGCAGGCTTAAGCCTGGCATGGCCTAAAACTGGCCGGTTTCCACCCTTGTTCATGCATGAGCACACATGTTTGAAAAGTGAAATGTGATTGTGTACACAAAGTGTTCATAAGAAAAGGGGTTGAAGTCGTGGTGGTTTTTAGTTGCACGTTGTAGTAGCTTACATTTTTCACTGTCACCTTGAAAAACCACTAATCATTTAAAAATTGGGTAAGGCCTGTATTCACTATTGAATTACTCAATAAAAACAGTGTTTCCACTTATTTTAGGGGTGGTAAACAGGTAACCCAGCCTTGTTTGGGTATGACTTGAGCAAGTCAGATCTTGGTTGGGTCACCCGTTTACCAGGGCTAGGTTCTTCAAAACCGAGGAATCACCCCAACGGGTGGTTCTCTGTATTGAGCCACCAATTCACTATAAGGATCCAAACGATTCTTGAGCCCGGCATTGAATTTGTTAGTTTTTCTTTTTCCACAACGTGATTCCCAATGCCCGGAATCAGCATTACAAGTCAGATGGCCACATGTCCAAGTCCGGTATCCGCAACACCGGATAGAGCACGTGGTTTGCCAAAACGAATGGCGTCTCCTATCGGTGTTTTTTATTGCCACCGGACATGAGGACAATTTAGAAAAAAAAACAAAACAGCGTGATGCTTCTCATAATTTATGGGAAAAAAGACATCCAATGGTAATATACGTATCAAAAAGATATCCGTACGTAAATCACCCTCCACCTACCTGAAACACCGCTCTCTCTAAAATACCACTCTCTTGCAGGGGCTCACACAATCGGCCAAGCTGACTGCCACTTCTTCAGCTACAGGCTCTACAACTATGGCACGACCGGAGCCTCGGACCCCTCTCTAAACTCCTCTTCTCTAAACGAGCTCAAAGCCATTTGCCCCTCTCTCTCCTCCAATAATAGAGCTGCCCTCGATAAGGGGAGCAGACAAACATGGGATAACGCTTATTATAAAAACATAGGGGCCGGGAACGCTCTCTTGGAGTCAGACTCGAAGCTTGGCTCGGATGGCTCGACGGGTGGACTCGTGAGTCGGTTTGCAGGCTCTTTGAGCGAGTTCGACTCGACCTTTGTGAGGTCTATGGTGAAGCTGGGGAATGTGGGGGTAAAGACTAAGGCTGGTGGGGGTGGGGAGATCAGAAGGATGTGTCAAGTCACAAACTTTTGATTTTTTTTTGATAATTAATCTCTGCTTTTTTTAACTTTTTTTTATCTTTGAATTTTTTTTTTTCTTTTTTTTTTTTGAAGAGGGAGGGGGGAAAGGCCAGACAAAATGTGGCCCCAACTTGTTAGTGACAAGATGTGTGCTATTTTGTTGGGGGGAGAGGTGAAAGTGCTTCAACCTTTTGTGTGTGCGCGCGTGCGAGAGAGATTCCTAGCAAAAGAGAATTTGTTTGGCCCATAATTGGAGTTCCCTTGAAGAATCCATAGCTACTTATTTTTAAAAGAGCTTGGGGATTTTGAGTTTTTTTTAACATTTAGATTTTGCCTTCTAAAACTTGGACGGTCCCCTGTTCTATCTTGTGTTGTAACTTCTTTGAAGTACAAAGAATGTGCAATTTTAACCCTTTTTTTAGGTTGGTGAGGTTTAAGAGGTCACATTCTTACAATTTGGGTCCCAAAAATATTCCTAGCACAACTTCTACAAATGTACAATATGCTCTCGCAACAGGCCCCCCCTGGCTGGCCCCTTCTCTCTCTAAAAACTTACATATAAACGTCTCGCTTTCAAGAGAAAAAGCGAAAAGTACACTGACCCTATCCTTATTGTTTTATTGTCTAATTTAGAAACCGCACCCTTTATAATATGGGTGCAGTTGCCATACGGATGCATCCGTAGATCTAGAGGTAAGGTGCACCTTTAAATTTTATGATGGTATATAATTTTGATGTAAATTGTTATTGAGATTATCTCAAATCTATTTTTATATCTAATTATAAAATTTTAAATTAAAAAATGGTTAAAATCAAGTAGATCTATAAATATATGAAAATCTTCAAAATGGACGGTGTAGATAATATATTGTAAAATACATTATTTATGAGACTTAAAATATTTTTATTTTTCATGGTCATACATCTCGATAATCAATCAAATGGTTTTTAACATTAAAACTATATTTTCCGATGGATTTTTGAAGTGTATCCGTAGTTCGACATTATAAGGTTGCATCTTTATATAAACTTTTCCTTATAATATTTACCTTTTCTCTATGGAAAAAGTTTATATAAGGTTGCCAACATAAAATATAGAATTACATATGCATCTAAAAAATCCATCGAAAAATATTGTTTTAATGTTGAAAAACGCTCTAATTGATCATCTCAACAGCGAGATGTATGAATATTAAAAAAAAAAAAAGATTTTGAGTCCCAAGAATAGTGCATCTTACAACACATTATCTAGACCGTTCATTTCAAGATTTTCATATGTTTATAGATTGCTTAATTTTAACCATTTGTGGAGTTTAAAATTTTATAATTAGATATGAAAATAGATTTTGAGAAAATCTTAAAAAAAAAAAGTTTGTACCAAACTTGCTTATTATGATAAATTTTGGATTGGAGGTAAGCTTTAATTGGATTGTTTAAGATTGCAACTTTATAGAAATCACACCCTTAATTTTTTTTCTAATAGCTCCTTCATATAAATAGAGAATTTGGATGTCTTTTTTGACCTACTTGTAAAGAGAGAGAGAGAGAGAGGGTTCAAGGGAATTTGGGAGAAAGAGAGAGAGGGAAGGAGGGGTTTTGCATGTGAGGAAGAGGAAGAGAAAGAGAAGATGACTAAGTCAATAATGAAAAGAAACAAATGAGGAAAATGTCATTTTGTTTTAATTTGGATGGAGCCCATAGACTTTCTATTGACTTGTTTATTTAATACTTTAATTAGAAAGAGAATATATCTCTTTTCCTAAGAACGATGTGACTTTCAAATGGTTCACTGAGTAACCTCTCTCTTCTTTGGATGTAAACATCTCTCTAGGAAAAAGTGTAAGTTGCATTGGGTTGGTTGATGAAGATATATGTCCCGTCTTTTTCATGGGATCAATGAAAGTTACATAACTCTTAACAGCAACTGGTAACCAATGGCAACAATTCTTTTACCTTGGAGAATGTTCCACATATTCATTTATTCCACTTGGAAGTCTTATTAAATTGGGACAAATCTTTTTGCATATTCCTTCTTGGAGCTATCTCCATCATTAAATGCCCACATGCCTATATACTTAATTTTTATTTTAATAGGGAATTTGTTGGGTGGCATGCCCATCGTATTTAACTATTAAAAACAATAAAAGCCACAATTAGGGGTGACAATGGGCCCATGCTAGTTTACTTGACATGGATCCGGTTGGATCTGGGTCCGCTTGTCTTAACCGAACTTGAATGAGTCGGAGTATATTCTTGACTTAATCAGGCTTAATTGGTTAGTGTTTGATTATTTACAACGCTACGTCTTAAGCTCAATTCCTAAGTAAGGGTCCTCCCCTATTGACTCACCCCAAAATATGCGAGAGAGAAAAAGAGGTTTTGCAGGTTAAGAGGTTCAAATCCACTTGTTTTGAACCCGAGTGAGTCTTGTTCACTTAACCGGGTTAAACCAACCTGAACCAGTTTGTGTGTTTATGGAGAGAGAGAGAGAAGAGAGAGAGAGAAACCCTATTTTACCTAACCCGACCAAGTCTATGTATACCAATGGCCCAGGGGTCTACCATGGGCCCAGCTAGGTCAGGCTCAACCAGACCCATTAAATTAAATGGAGAATACCAAGAGATCAAATTTGTATTCATTGGCTGGTGACTATTTACGCATCTTTTTGGAAGGTCAAAAAAGCAACGCCATAGTTTTCAATGTTAAATGATTGAGAAATAAAAAGGGCACTATGGACCAGTTTACCTGTACTCAAATATTTAAAAAGGAAAAAGTTTTTATAAGCGTGAGGCCCCAAACAATGAAATTAAGACACACATAAAAAATTCACTAGAAGAAGTTATTTCAATGTCCAAAAATTATCAAATCGGTCATCTTGACCTCAAGATGTATGGGCATAAGAAAAATTAGATTTCAGGACTTGAAAATGGTCTATCTTGTAATGCATTTTCTAGACCGTCAATTTTCAAGTGTTTATAAATCTGCTCGATCTACACTAATTTTAAAGCTTTAAATTTTATAATTAGAGATAAAAATAACTTTTAAAGATGTCATTAAGATTTCCAGTACTGAAACAACATCTTTCGACTCTAATTGAAAATGTATCTCACTTTGATTGTTTAAGGCCTCGGCCTAATACAAACAACACCCATTTAAAATAGTCCAGGCTACTTGGTATCACGTGAGTTTAAGGGAACCAACAATTGCTCGATTCTCTTGAAATTTTAATTTTTCTAATATATTTATACACCGATTAGACTTGAGAATCACCAAAGTTGGATCTAGTGGAATCCGAATCGACCCTCTTTGGATTTCAAGTCCGATTCCGTCTCTAAGCTAAAAAAATTAACCCGGATCACCCTTTATCAAAATAGATTTGCGTAATCCTTTGAAATTATTTTCCCATTTTTACTCATAAATATATGTTTTATTTTTTAATTTTACTTTCTCAGTTTTCCTCATATGTCGAGAGAAATAGTGAAGAAAATGTCAAGTGCAAGACTGAAAGCAACTTACATGTGATTCCATGGTCCCTACAATTTAGAAAATCCTCAACCTTTCTAGAATATGACTATAATACCTCTCTCAAAAATGCAATATCTCTAGTCAGCCCCTTACACACAAACGACCAAATTACCCTCAATCTGTTTGGTCAGGCCAAAAGTTCAGCAAACATTACCAAGACAAAAGTTAATTATAAGCAAAAAAAATTTGGAAAATTATCATTAAAATGGTTGGACCATCTTAATGAGTTAGTTAATTGGTCAAATCAACAATGGGTAACCTCAATAAATGAGTTGATTGGTCAAATCAACAATTTAATCACATAACAATTTATTTTTTTAAAGGTGTCTCATTTAGATACCTCCATAAAATTAAAATTAGTCAAATTATCCTCATTCTGAAGTATTGAGAGCATTTTAATAGCTGGATCGAACTTAAGTCACTCAAATGGAGAGGGCTGCAGCCTTATTTTGATAAGTAAAAGCCCCACGCCATAACTCATCGAAAATTCCAATTCAAGCATTAGAAAACCTTTTCATGTTCTCCATATGGGCAATTTAGTTGTGAATAAAAAAAAAAAGATTTTAAGTTCTAAAAATAATATATATTGTAACAAATTTTTTAGATCATCCATTTCATCGTAAAAATAAATATTCAGATTAGTGCCATTTTTTTAGTTTCAAATTTTATTGTTGGAGTTAAAAAATGATTTTAGAGCCATCATATAGATTTCTGTTGTCGGAAGTGCTTTCCATATAAGGATTTGAGGTGGGGCTTTATTTTGTTTTCATAAAATTTAGGACTTATCATCTCGAAAAAAAGAATAAGAGATATGCCGGTAATTAGAAGGAAGAAAGATTCCTCGTGTATCATCATCTGAAGCAGAACTATGAATGGGAGCTACCTGAAATTTCATCCCTTAAATAATGCATATATTACTTTTTTGGGTTCCAAATTATTAATATATTTCATTAGCTAAAAACAATATTTCAGGTTTGAAACATGAAGGAAGTGGAAGCATTTTGGTAAATTTGGGACCTATTAGGTTACCCATGCCAAAAACAACTTATGCACCCCAATTTTATTTTGGATTCCATGGATACGACTTTCTAATAAACCACAACTCATCAATAATTGTAATTCAATAGATGGAAAACCTTTACATCAATCATCTTGACTTGGACAGCATTGTGGTTGTGAAAAAAATTAAGATTTTTAAGTTCTAAAAAAAAAGTATATTGTAATAAATTATCTAAACCATCCATTTCACCCAAAAACTAAGAATTCATAAACATGCAAAATCTACATACATTTTTACCTTCAAAATTTATTGTTTGGGTTGAAAATTGATTTGAGAGCCATCATGGAGGTTTCCGTTAATAAGTGTTTTTTCAAGTGAGGATTTGAGATGAGGCTTTATTTTGTTTTCATAAAACCTAAGCTTTATAGAAACTTCATCTAATATAAAAAACAAAAGATTTCAACGTGCAAGTGAAAACCCAGATTGGAAGAGGCCAACTACCAATGAAATAATGGCAACTCGAAGTTGCATCAGTTCACATAAATCATAATCCCAAACAACAATAAGAATGATTTTCATACGAAGAAAAAGAGAGGAAAGCTGACCATCACTCACACAACTACGTTACATTAAAGAGCTTATATCGGCTTAAACAACTCTTCACTCACTGAATACTATCTCCCTCTCCCTCTCTCTTCTCTCTCTCTCTCTCTCTCTCATTCACATTTGAATATCCCCTCTCTCTCTCTCTCTAAGCAATTCACATTTGAACACCATCTCTCTGTCTCTCATGGAATTCAAACCTCACCATCTCAACCAAGTGAAATGTGAATACCATCGCTCTCACTCTCACTCTCACTCTCACGGTGTCTGCACATTTGAGTCCTTTGATCGGTTATCCTCTGAACTCGGCCTATTCTCTGAATCTGACTGCTTTACATCCTCCACCATCTTCACCACCTCTGACATCTTCGGCCTCAAATCCGGCACCCTTGCAACACAAGCCATAGCCACCTGCAACATCTGAACCATTTCCTCCTCTATATTCTGATACCTCATGAGCTCAACATCAAAAACCTCAGCTGTCCACTCTTCTCTCACTACACTTTGAACCCATCTTGGCAAATCAGCAATATCCTCACTTCCTTGTGCTTGGGCTTGGTGAGCTTGGGCTGGTGATTTACCAGTCAAAAGCTCGAGTAAGAGGACACCGAAGCTATAGACGTCAGACTTTTGGGTGGCCCTCCGGGTTTCTAGGGTTTCAGGAGCCCTATAGCCTGGAGCCCGGGGGTGAGGTCCAGGGGCAGGGGGGCTCATGAGTGGGGCTAGACCAAAGTCGGAGACTAAGGGTTCAAGTTCAGGGGTGAGGAGGATGTTGGAGGATTTGATGTTGCCGTGAGTGAATTTTCCGCCACCAATGTCCGAGTGGAGATGGGCAATGCCTCGGGCGGCACCGAGGGCGATACGTACACGGGTATCCCAGTCGAGTGGGGTGCGTTCCGCGCCGCGATTTCCTGGTTTAAGGGGGTTTTCAGGGGGCAGAGAAAGAAATCATTAAAAAATAGATGTGTTGTGGAAGAGGGAAGACTCTTGATTGCAGGCTTTGCGCCACTAAATTGTGTAGTTGCTAAGCATATGTGTCAGTGTTTGAAAAATCGAACCGGCCTTGGAAACAAGCCAATGGCTGGTTCCGAGTAACCAGTAGACCGGCTGGTTTCGATTGGCCTAACTGGTCTCGTCCTGGCTGGTCAAAAAAAGTGTTAAAAAAATATGAAAAGTATATTTAAAACATTATTAAACAAAGTACATCCAAATGAACTTGATGGTTGAACATGAGTGGAAAAAATGGATTTTAAAATATAGATTAACTCTCGGGGGAATTTTTGAAATTTTTCAGAAAGGGAAAAATGCAAAAATAAGTATTCATGCAAGAATATTTAAAAAATCATTACAAACAAATCCCTTATTTTTGGGGATTTTATACAATTTTTTTAAAATACCCAACCTGATCACTCAGGCCGGCCAAAACCGAAACCGGCCCGTGGACAATTCCGATCTTACCAGCCGATTTTGATTTGAACCTGGGCGATATTACATTAACTGAGAAAGAGAGAGAGAGAGAGAGAGAGAGAGAGCAGTGCTGAGCAAAAAGTAACATACCATGAAGGAGAGTCGAAAGGTTGCCAGTGGGCACGTAATCATACACAAGCAGCTTCTCATCCTTGGAGTAATAATACGCCCTTAAAGGAATAACATTGCGATGTTTCCCCACCCTCCCAATCATCTCCATTTGCCCTTCAAACTCTCTCTTCCCAACAACCACCTCCTTCAATCTCTTCACAACAACTGTAGTCCCATCTTCTAAAACTGCTTTGTACGCAGTTCCAAAACTCCCTTTCCCTAAAACTTCAGCCGAAGCTCTCAACAAATCTTCGAGATCAAAAGTATAAGAACACCCCTCGAAAAACACCAGTTTGTTCTTCTCTCCCTCTTGTGCAGAGACCCCAAACTCGTCCTTTGGCCTCTCTCCCTTCTTTCCAACCTTCACCTCTCCATTTGAGTCTTCTCCTTTGTTTTCTTTTACACAAAACACTAGAAAAACGGCCGCTATCAAGAAAAGCAGTGCCGCACCTCCAACACCTATTGCGACTATGGCCCCGGTGCTTATCTTCTTCTTAGATGGGGGTTCGTGAGGAGGCGAGAGGGGGATTGGAATGAAAGGAGAGGGGGAAGGAGTAGGAAGAACTGGAGTGCATTGGAGTAAGAGAGGCGGACCGCACAGAAATGGGTTACCTAAAAAGGAAGAATTCGAAAAATTTTGGAGGGAAATTGGGATAGAGCCATTGAGTTGGTTGTAACTAAGATTCAAATGCTTGAGCTTAGGGAGATCGACATCAGGGATGGATCCCATGAGAGAGTTGTTTTCAAGGAACAATCCAGTGAGTTGGGTGAGGTTTCCAATTGTTTGAGGGATTTTTCCAACAAAATCATTGTTTGAAAGATCAATTTGGGTGAGATTTGTAGAGAGATCAGATGGAATCTCACCTGAAAAGTTGTTTCGTTGGATATAAAGGTAGCGCAGAGAGGGTAGAGCCAATATTTCAGGTGGGAAATTTCCACGGAGGAGATTGGATCTTAGGCTTAGGGTTTGGAGAGAGGTGAGGTTGGAGATTGTGTTGGGCGGAATTGGGCCTGAAAGCCCAACCCCGGGGAGTCGTAGAGCTATAACGTGGGTTTTCTCGGGGTTGCATGTTATGCCTGTCCATGAAGGGCAAATGGGGATCAATGGACTCCAATTAAGTTTCCGGCCATGGGGCACTTCTTTTGCAAAGGCAAGGAGTGCTTGTTCATCAGAATTTAGATCAGCAGCTGCTTTAAAAGTAGACTGGAAAATGAGAATGAAGAAAATGTAAAAAGAACAGCGGATTTTGGTTGTTGGGTTTCTCATTGAAGCTGGTGTTCTCAAGGGATAATTGGTTTATTTAACAACTGGGTCTCCAGTTTTCTCAGTCTCTTCTTGATTAACCTGCAACCAGAGAAAATATCATAGTATATGAGAAGGAATGCCGATGAAGATTTTCAAGAATATCAATAACGAGAAGTATACCATTCTGATGGACAATGGTAAATGGGTAATCCAAGGCTAAAGCAGCCATCAGTTCCCACTGATGGACAGCAGGTGATTAACTAGAGTAGGGACCATGGCGGCATACAAGTGGGTGCAGTTTATCTAAAGCATCATTTGCAAGAAACGGAGGGTTGATTTCACCTGGAGTACTTTATACCATAATCCATTGGACTTGGAGTATGGTTCAAGGTCCCTGTGTAAATCTTTTTGGAATTAGAAAGCAGCCTTATGGTGAATCAGATGGGTCATCAGCAGTTTTGTTGGTTCACATATTGATAATATTACTGCATGGAAGGCATGGAATTACAGTAAAACCCCTGGAAAAGTTCACAATAGTCTATATAATATATTGGAATGACTGTTGCCATTGCAGATTGAGATAAGCCTATTCTAGGTATTTGATTTGAATGGAGTCACTTTGATTAGAAATTTGTGTCCATCAGGATTATCAGAACAATCCATATGATTTGTTACTTGAGTTTAATGCCCGAGGAGAAGCCCATTTTGAAATGAGGTGCTTGTAAATCTAGTAAAAGAGTGTTATCTTCAAAAAGAAACGAACAAAAGAGGTGTGACTATGCTCAATTATAAAAGGAAAATGACCAAGATATTCCAACTTTTCCATTTCTTATTGCGTACGAACCTTAGAGCAAAAAGTGTAGGCGATTTGAATCCTTGGAAGAGACCAGATTATCCTGCAATTTGGAAAGAGTAATGATCCTATATGACCCTTCCCCACCCATGTGTGTAGGACCCCAAAAGATCACCGTTAAAGTTGACACGGATCTCTAGAAAAATTATCATATGGGTGTGGGACATGACTTTTCTATAGATCCGTGCTAAATTTAATGGTGATCCTTTGGGGTCCTACACACATGGGTGGGAGAGGGTCCTATAGGATCATTTCTCATTTGGAAAATGATCTCATTTTCAAGATAAGGTTAATGTGCTACATGAACCAGGCTATATATATATATATGGAAGCCACTACACAATGCCAATAGGCGAAAATGAACTGTGTTTTTGCCCATAGGCTCGGCGCTGTGCGATTTTTTTTGGACGGCATGGATTAAAAGACCGCAACGGATATAACATGTCTATGGCGGTATTTTTTCATGCAAAAAAACACAGGAAACAGCCACAGCTCCCGTAGATCCATGGAGGTTTTTAAGGCAAAACCGCAACAAATATAGCATGTCCGTAGCTGGGCGAAACA